ATGTCCGAGAAATTTTCATAGAAAATATTCGTCCTCCGACAGGAATCGAACCGGTATCCTATACGGAACTGTCATATAGCCTGACGTGCCTTTACCGATTGATCGACAGGGGAGCGCTTCGGTTAGCAAGGTCGATTTTACCGTTTTTAAACTACAATTCTCCATGATTTTCTCTCATACATTCATATCTGCTCGATGCGTATCCAAATGTAAACAAATGACGTCACACATTAATAAATGGACAAAGTCCGACAATTTATTTATTAAAGACATTTTTATGTTTAACGTTCTTTTTTAGAGATACAAGTATTTAAGTAAATGCTCTGTTTATAATAAACAGTATTAAACAACATTTACCGGCCTGAATGTCCGAGAAATTTTCATAGAAAATATTCGTCCTCCGACAGGATTCGAACCAGTATCCTATACGGAACCGTCATTTGGCTTGACGTGCCTTTTCCGATTTGGCCACAAAGGAGCGTTCGGTTAGCAAGGTCGATTTTACTGTATTTAAACTTAAATCTTCCATGAATCTCTAACGTACATTCATATCTGCACATGGCGTATCAAATGTAAAGAAATGACATCATATTTTTATGAAATGGACAAAGTATATACAATTATTTTAAGACATTTTTTTATGTTTAACATTTTTTTATAGATACAAATATTTAAGTAAATGCACTGTTTATAATAAACAGTATTAAACAACACTTACCGGCCTGAATGTCCGAGAAATTTTCACAGAAAATATTCGTCCTCCGACAGGATTCGAACCAGTATCCTACACGGAACCGTCATTTAGCTTGACGTGCCTTTACGATTTAGCCACGAAGGAGCGTTCGGAGAGCAAGGTCGATTTTACTGTATTTAAACTTCAATCTTCCATGAATTTCTCACGTACATTAATATCTGCTCATGGCGTATCAAATGTAAACAAATGTCGTCACACATTATGACAATTATTATAACAATTATGTATGACAATTATTTTAAGAAATTTTTTATGTTTATGCATTCTTTTCATATCTTTTTATGTCTTAAAATAATTGTCACGAAGAAGCCTGCAAATTTACCAATTGAATACGGAAACATAAATTTTTTGAAAAATTTGCGTGCAGTTTGAGATGTATATGACTTGGTCGTGTCATTTGACGCGATAAATTTGATAACTCCATTACATTGACAGCCTGTTTTTAAAATGTTTTTTCTTGGTTTCAATTTACGATTGATTTCGATCTTATTCGCTCTATAGTTTGTGGTGCCGCATATCCCGTATCACCAACGCGACAATAAACAATAGCAAATTATGAAATGACTATAAACCGCTTTATATTTTAAAAATGCAATCTGATCCAATATGCAGTCTAGAATCTAAATAATTGATTCTCGCCACCGTCATAAAAAAATTATATCCGCCTGCTCACCATATGAATATCCTACCATTGTTAAACGGTACAGTTAACTCACTACTATACACGTTCAACGTTGAAGACAGACTAGCTAGAAATGTACACGAATAACAAATATAAGCTAGTCTACGTGGCAACAAAACGCCACATACGATAACTTTCTTTAAAATTAATAACTCAAATA